TCACGCTTGAAAATACCAAGTTTTGTTACTCCATCAACCCAAACCTGAACATTCTTAGTCCAATTTCCTTTCCTCCGCTGGAAATAAAACATTGAACCTCTGAATTATGTACTGAGAAAAACCTTCTTTTAAGTCGTTTACTGCCCCGACACATAGACAAGCATCCTACCATTACATAAACATTGTGCGATAGCAACACACGAATCATCATAACAATCAATGTCAAATCTCAAAACCTTAGGTAGTACTGATACTGGGCTGAAACAACAGAACGACCTTCTACAAGGCGATGACAATAGCCCAATCAACTACGCAGGAAAAAACATCTTGCGCCATATTTGTAGTACCATTACGATTTTCCTCAATTCCCGAATTATAACAAGCACTTCACATCGCATAAGATCGAGTTGGAAAGGAACAAATGCATAAGCCTCAAAAGAATCAAATCGCACGATGAGGAATCAAGAAGGGAAATGCTCCTAACAACCCTATAGCCTCTCGAAGATAAGCACAGACGTCTCTGTACCGATCCGCAAGACTCTATTAGACTCGCTCATGACTCGTGAGACCTAAGTGAACCTAGCTCTGATACCATGTTGTCACGATCCAAAAATCCATTGAAGGTCGTGATGGCGCCGGACACCGCTGTCAGGCAAGCCAACAATACATACTTAACTTAACTACCCATTTTAGAATTTTTGAAATCCAAATTTCTTCAATGAAATAGTAAATATAAAACTCATAGAGTAAGTGATAAATATTTTTAGCAACTAAATTTCTAAACAATTCATAACCATTCCCAAAACCCGGTGTCACAAGTGCATGAGCATTTACTAAGGAGTAAAAATAAAATACAGCATCTGTCCAGAATACAAATTAGATAGGAAAAATATAAATAACTCTGAAGGAGACTCTGTTGGCTGCGTATAGTAATATAGAATACAGCTCACCTAAATCCCCGCATTTTAACCACACATCTGCGCCCACAAGCCCGCTAGACATATATGTACCTGCACAATAAAAATGTGCGGCAAGTATAGCATGAGTATGTAAACAACGTGTACCCAGTAAGTATCGAACCTAATATTGAAGAGGTAGAGACGAGATGACCGACTTTGACACTCACTAAGGGTCAATAATAATAAATAAAATAAAAATAAGAATATTTAAATCAACATGATTCACAGAGTTAACAATTATGTTTATTTAACCAACATAAATAATTAAATTCTTTCAAATGCAACAATTTCCAATCTATTAATTAAATTCACAAACTACAATTAAAATATTAAGATATCGTGTAATTATTATTATTAGGCACGATTTCTGCCGAGGTCGTACGGCCCGATCCAGAGTGTCGTGTACACTGCCGAGGGACGTGCAGCGCGATCCATAGATGCATCTATACTACCGAGGCGTTCGGCCCGCTCCACAAGAAAGGAGGACATTTTCTTATGTACCTCCGGAATGAGAAAAATATTTATTATAAGATTAATTCAAGAGGATGAATAATTTCTTTTAACAATTAATTGATTTAAGCAGAAAATTAAGTATATGAGATTTCCATATTTTACTATCTTTCCCTAACAATTCACAATATATATCAAATAATTTAATTAATTAAAGAATATAATTTACACATATAATTCATGCTTTTGAGTCCTAAACTACCCGAACTTTAGCATAGATAGTACCTACGTACGGACTCTCGTCACCTCGTGCGTACGTAGCCCCCACAATTAGCAACAATTATTATTTTAATCAACTATGGGGTAAATTACCCCTCACAAGATTAGACAAGAGACTTACCTCGCTCCGAAGTTCCATAGCCGACTCCCAAGCCTTTCAAACAACTCGACCGATGCCCAATGCTCCAAAACTCGCTTTCGCTTTATTAACATTCACAAGATTTCAATCCCCCTCCGAAATCGTAACATTGAGTAAAATGCTCATACACCACCAACAAATTGATATCTACAATTACAATCCCAATTACAATCAAAATATGACTCAAAAATATTTATCAATATTCATTTATTACTCACAAGTTGGCTACAAGCCTCCAACTCAAATCGTCTAATAGGTTCACTTACTATGACATTCAACTACACTCTTATCATTTAATACCCATTTGAAGTCATCAATGATACTACATTAATTCTCCAACACCGCCAAATTACTATTCATCGTCTTCCTTAACCAACATTTTCAAAACATTCAATTTGGTGATTACTTAGTTGAACACTTCCAACTAAGCTAGAAAATGATTCCATAGGTTCATTGCATCCTTTAATTTCATTTCTAAGAACACTATTTATCTTTCTCTCATTTTCTCAAAAACACTATTCAAGCCATGAACTAGGGTTTATGAAATCAATTATCCAACCATAACAACTTGAAACAAGTATTAGAATTACTCTCACCGACTCATAAGAAATGAGCTTGAAGCATTAGTATTACCTTCTTGAAGCTTTTCCTTAAAATTCTAATATTTGGGAAATTTGGTGTTCTTGAACAACTTGAAAGATTTCTAGGGATTTCAAAGATTGAAGGATATTAATACTAGTGTTAATAGGATGTTATTAACTGAAAATATCCAAAAGAAATTCACCTTGTATTCTTAGGTAGTCCCCAAGGTCGAATTCACCATGAAAGAACCAATCCCTAGCTCTAGCAAATCCCCCAAAATGGCTGCTGCTCGTGACTGCCTTATATAGGCACAAGTGCTTCTGCGAGTTGTATTGTGCACTGTGCAGGTTGTACCTCGTATTACAAGTTTTCCCCTGCTGGACACCTTTTACTAAAACATCCATAAATCCTTGTAGAAATATCANATATATATATAGGCATGCTCGTCCAAAGTTAAGTTTTGTGTGTACTCATTTCGAACTTTAGTCTATCATGTAATTTCCAACTTGACTTAGAATTAGAGCTCTCCTTAGACCCCACATCACTTATAATTGTGAATCGTGCACTTATTAACATATGAACCTGCTGGAACCTTCAAATCCCGATTCTGAGGTCGTTTACTCAAAAATCCAACCTTAGTCAATTCTTCCAACTTAAAGCTTTAGAAATGAGAATTTTCTTTCCAAATCAACTATGAACTTTTCGAAATTAAATTCCGACCATGCGTACAAGTCATAATACCTGAAGTAAAGTTGCTCAGGGCCTCAAACCGCCAAACGACGCGCTAGGGCTCAAAACGACCGGTCGGGTCGTTACAACTTTTCAGGCTGAAGTTATTTTTTTTTACTATAGAAAAACTGTGGAATTATTAAGCTGAAGTTATATTTCTTTTTCCATTTATCACCTACTTGTTTTATTTACCACCTACTTATCTTGTTACATTCAATTTATCTGAACGTAAAACAGTAAATAGACCTGAAAAGTTACCTTTGCATTTATAGATATTAAATTGATTAGGTGCACTCTTTGGCTATATTAACAATCTATTCACTTGAAAATTTTATAGTCATCCATGTACTTCTATCATATTTCTTTAAATTTATATTCATCCTTAGCCTTTTAGCTTTTTAAAAGAAATAATGTCTGGTGCTAGCGGAAGTAGGAAAGTTACAATGGATGAACTTATGCAGAAGTGGGAGAGTTTAAAGTCTAATTGGAATAGTAACGTACCAATGGCTAATCTTATATGCAGACGTGGGATAAAATAAAGGCTGATTGGGAAAGAATCAGACCACAGTTTGTTGCCGATGAATCATTCAAGAACAGGCTGAACCTCGAACGCATTTATAAAGGTTATTCAACCTCGTTTGACAAGGTTGTCCAGCAGTTTGATTTTTTTAAGTTTTCTATCTGGGACGACTATGCCAAGCTGCAAAATAACTTAAAGAGTCTTCCTTATCTTATGGACAGAGTAATAATTGAACAAAGTCAGTTACGTGATGAATTCAACAAGTTAAAGTGTGATCTCATTGGACTTTGTGGTCTTTTGCCTGAGTATCCTATAGTTATCTCTAATTCGGATGATGATGAGATATATCGAGAAATTGAAGATTACTGTTCTGATGATAGTGATGATGCTTAGTTTTTGTAATCCTTTTTTATGTTTTTCTTCTGTGTTTTTTGTTAATATTTTTTATGGCTCTTCTTTTTGGTTTGTCAATGTTTTGATAATGGTCGTGTTTTGTTAATGTTTATGTTGCTATATTAATGAAAATCTTGTTACGTCTTTTGTATATATTTTTAAAATTTTGAAGGCTGCATTATGATTTTAATGTAATAACATAGTATGTCAACATAAAACTTCATGCCTTATAAGCTGAAGTTAGCAAATATAAGTTAGAAACTTGAACCTTTTTTATCTGAAGTTTTATGCTTTTGATAGTCACACTTTATAGGCTGGTTTTTTTTTGCTTACATTTTTCCGTTAATAAGCAATCTTTTAAGAGGCAGACTTATATATGCGGAAATGTTTTTGTTCATTTTATAAAATTTCACACAAAACATGCTTAAGTTTTGTCCAACAGCCTGCAGTTTTTGTAATGATTTTTTCCAAACTTCAGAGAGAATATGCTGAAGTTATTTAGTTTATTTTCTAAAACTTCAGTCTAAATATGCTGAAGTTTTGTTATACATATGTTTTTTTTAAAGATATGTATTTCACTTATAGTTTTTTCTCGTTGAAGTCATTGCATGCTATTTTAAAATGCAACCAAACCTGTAAGTCGCGCAACAAAAATGAGTGGTTTATACTTCAAGCAATATATAAAAGAGTATTTTTCAATATAAGAACTTATTTTTTTTATTTCTACGAAAACAATCATATTTCACATATATTATTTAATAATAAAAGTGTAAATTCAAACTAAGGATTATTGAACGCTGGAGTATTTTTCAGCGTGTTTCTTGGAATATGGATGAGATGCTGGAAAAGACAAGTAAGTTGTTCTATTATGCCCAATTTGTTTACAGCGACTGCATTTGGTAGACTTCAATGGTACTGATTCAGTCGCAGGGATATGCCTCTTCTTTTGTCATCTTCCTTGTAAAATCTCTACATCGGGAGGTTTTGTGATTTCAGATTCTACATTTTGTGGAATATCCCATGCATTTTGATCTGCCACAGTATTCACATGTCCTTCATATGTTTTGAACCATGTTTCCCTTGAATACCATTTTGAGTAATAATCAGATTTCTGCAAATATCTCTTATTAATAGCAGCAATTGCGTGTGAACAGAGCAATTCATCAAGTTGAAATTCCAAGCAGTCACAAGTTCTCTTCTTTAAGTCAACAATGAATTTCATTCCTTCACTATTTATTCGAAACAACATTAAATCAAGGTTGAACACCTAAGAAGGAATAAAAAAGTAAAAAAAATATATTAGTGTATTATTGCTTCAAAAAGAAAAAGTATGAAGTTTTTTTATATGTAACTAGTAAATCACTGCAGCAGATATAAAAGGCTGAAGTGATTATGCATTAGTTAATTACTTCAGAGAAAACACGTTGAAGTAAATTCTGAAGTTAATAAATATACTCACAAATATTTTGCAAGCCAAGTCCATCTTCTTGTTCATCTCTTTTTCTGCCCATATTGATACTTTGTGAAAAGTTTCATGTGCTCTTTTTCTTCGTTCGTAAAACCACTCTCCCAACTTTTCTTGGATGAAATCTAACATTCTTAAAATAGGCATCTCTCTCACTTTTAGTAACATGGAATTCATTGATTCTACCATGTTTGTTGTCGTCAGCATATCATAACGTCGCCATGGGAACCACGATCTAGCCCATCTCTCTGGCGGCTCTTTCATTATGTAAGTGTATATTTTCTTGTCAACACTTTTGATTTGGGACATTAACTGATTAAAATCTTCACGTTTGTATGACCTTGCAGCGCTTTAAAAAAGATTTATTACCGTGGCTTTTGCATGTCTTTGCTTTAAATTTTTCTCAAAGTGATAGAGGCAGATACCATGGTGAGCTTCAGAATAAACTTTTCTAATCCCATTTGCGATTGATTGGTTTTTATCTGATAAGAAAACCAGTTCACGATGGACTTGAATTGCTTTTCTCATTTCCCCGAAGAACCAAATGTAAGCATCATTGTTTTCTGAATCTGCTATACCAAAAGATAGAGGAAAGATTTGATTATTTGCATCCTTTGATACAACAACAAATAGAACGCCATGATATTTTAACTTTAAAAATGTTGCATCTACTGCAATCACGGGTCTACAGTAGCACCAACCAGTTATTGATACCGTAGGAGCAAAGAACATGTAAGCAAATATGTACAGTGAAACACAAAAAAACAAATCATAAGGTGTGAAGTTTTTCAGATAGGAACATAACTTCAGGCTGATGGTTAGTATTGTTTTGCTTACCGATTCTGCTTATCTCTTTTTATACTAATGTACGTCCCTAGTTTTCTATGCACCATCATGTGTAGGTATGAAGGAAGAATCTGGTAGTTCTCTTCCGGTGTTTCCCTTATGGAAGCAATAGCTTTTTGAATAGCACGCCATGCCTTGTGATATCCAATGTCAATTCCAAATTTCTTTTTCATTTCACTTTCTACAAAGGCTGGTGTAACCTCAATCTTTTTATCTCGAACATGTTCTAAAATTTGTTCACTTATAAAATTTAATGTAGCATGCTTCTGATTTGATTTTCTTGCATCCACCGAGCATTCATGGTTGTTATGATATTTTATCACCCTAAAAAGTGAGAAATTTTTTATTCTGGTAGCACGTACATTCCAACCACATTTCTCCACGATGCATTTCAGCTCGTATCTCTTTGAACATGATCCAACAGCAATGAATTCAACTTTTTGGTTTATCTCCAAGCTGCAGAAAAATTTAGTCATGTTCTTCTTGTTGCCAAAAACTGATCCTACTCTTACTTCCTTAGGCAATGCATCGTGCCTAAGTATTTTACATGGTGGAGATTCTTTCAGCTTTCTCCTCACTCTTTTTCTTGATTTCTTAGAAGCAGTAGAAGTTTCAGCAATTTTTTTAATTGTATCCGCTATTATAGGTATAAATTCCATATTTTCTTCATCTTCGTTGTTGCTTGTCATTGCAGAAGGTAACAAAAAACTTTGTTGAATCGTGTGTTAGTTGTCTATTTGCATTATTAGTTGTCCTTCTTCTTCTTGGTTGTCAACAAACTGGTATGAATTTATTGTAGCGACATGTAATTGTTGTAGCATTCCATATTCTGAAGCAGCCGTAATGTTAGAAGGTTGTTGCTCGTTGTCTACTTCCATTATTGGCTGTTCTAGTTCATGTTGATAATCAACAAATTGTTCTGAAGCTATTGTATATGCAAGAGATGATTTGAATGTTGCAAATTCTGAAGAATCTATACTATCAGAAATGAGTTGTATTTTTTCGACGACAAAATGGCAATTCTTGTAGGTTGAATCAGTTGTTAGCAAATGTATACAGAATCTGAGTTCTTCATGTGAAGTTACAAGCATCCCTTTGCTTGTATTTAGTTTGATATCAAACCATATCTTTAGTGAATATTTGGTTGAATCAATATCTGTAACTTCACTAATTTTCTTTTGGAAAGTATTGAATGATACTTGTTTATTAAGCAGAACAAGTTTTGTATCATGATCCAAGTATTTGAAATCAAAAGTCCACCTCCCATTGAAAGTAATAACAAGGTAAATCGAACTCATCCTGCAGAAGCATGTTTAGTATCAAATATTAGGAAACTGAACAAAAGAATTTAAGTGTGAAGTTCATAAAACATTCATTAGAAAATTACATACTGTAGGAGAAAAACTTAAGCACGTTTAAGCTGCAGTTTTAGCAAATGTACTAAAATACTTCAGCTTGTTTATTCTGAAGTTTTCGAAATAAAGCTCATGAAAAGGCTATTTAATGCTGGACAAAACTTAAGCATGAACGAAATTTAACTTCAACATGCAGGAGAAAATTACATAGTGTAGGAGGAAAACTTCAGCAATTTCGTCCTGAAATTTTTACAAATGAACTAAACAATTTCAGCATCTTCTGCTGAAGTTTCTGAAAAAGCTCATGACAAAACTATTGAATCAGGACAAAACTTCAGCATATTGAATGCTGAAGTATTAGCAAATGAACTAAAAAACTTCAGCTTGTGTATACTGCAAGACAAAGACTTCAGCATTTTGGTGTGAAGGTTTAGCAAATTATGTAAAACTCAGCTAGTTAAATTCACTATGAAATTACATAGTGCAGAAGGAAAACTTCAGCAGGTTTGTCCTGAAGTTTTTACAAATGAACTAAACAACTTCAGCATCGTCTGCTGAACTTTCGAAAAAAGCTCATGACAAAACTATTGAATCAGGACAAAACTTCAGCATATTGAATGCTGAAATATTAGCAAATGAACTAAAAAACTTCAGCTTGTTTATACTGCAAGACAAAGACTTCAGCGTTTTGGTGTGAAGGTTTAGCAAATTATGTAAAACTCAGCTAGTTAAATTCACTATGAAATTACATAGTGCAGAAGGAAAACTTCAGCAGGTTTGTCCTGAAGTTTTTACAAATGAACTAAACAACTTCAGCATCGTCTGCTGAACTTTCGAAAAAAGCTCATGACAAAACTATTGAATCCAGGACAAAACTTTAGCATATTGAATGTTGAAGTATTAGCAAATAAACTAAAAAACTTCAGCTTGTTTATACTGCAAGACAAAGACTTCAGCGTTTTGGTGTGAAGGTTTAGCAAATTATGTAAAAACTCAGCTAGTTAAATTCACTATAAAATTACATAGTGCAGGAGGAAAACTTCAGCAGGTTTGTCCTGAAGTTTTTACAAATGAACTAAACAACTTCAGCATCGTATGCTGAAGTTTCGGAAAAAGCTCATGACAAAACTATTGAATCCAGGACATGATTTCAGCATATTGAATGCTGAACTATTAGCAAATGAACTAAAAAACTTCAGCTTGTTTATACTGCAAGACAAAGACTTCAGCGTTTTGGTGTGAAAGTTTAGCAAATTATGTAAAAACTCAGCTAGTTAAATTCACTAGGAAATTACATAGTGCAGGAGGAAAATTTCAATAGGTTTGTCCTGAAGTTTGTACAAATGAACTAAACAACTTCAGCATCTTCTGCTGAAGTTTCGGAAAAAGCTCATGACAAAACTATTGAATCCAGGACAAAACTTTAGCATACTTTAGTGCTGAAGTATTAGCAAATGAACTAAAAAACATCAGCTTTTTTATACTGCGAGACAAAGATTTCAGCATTTTGATGTAAAGGTTTAGCAAATTATGTAAAAACTCAGCTTGTTTAGTATCATGTTCTAGCAAATAAACCAAAAACTTCAGCATGTTTGTCCTCGTGACAAAACTGTTGAATACCTATGTGTCCTGCATTTAACAGTATCCAGAAACAAATTTATTCTATAACTCCATGCAAGTGTGATTAAAATATATGGGTTGATTGAATTAAAACTTAAAAAGCATGATGAATTCATGAAGATCAATCAGTTTCAAAAACTAATTTGAATTCTGAAGATGATTTGCAATACTTACAATGTATTTTATAATTTTGAATTTTGAATTTGAATCTGGTTCAACTTTCTGGTTTCGTGATTATGGCAGATGCGAGAGAATATCTGAGGAGGGATGGAGTGATGGAGGAGAACCGTAAAGTCATTTATGCGTGATGAATCTTTTATATATTTTGTCAGGAGTATAATGGTCATATTATTACGGATGTTTTGTCAATCGGATACCAAATTATTAATTTTAAAAAATAGGGTACAGGTTAAAAGGTGGCACAAATATAGGGTATGGCTGCAAATCCCCCCATTTTTTCTCTACTTTTTTCCCAGCTTACTATGTAAATTTTTGTGCCTTGCATGATTTTAGGTTGTGAAGACCACATGAAGTCCATGAATTCAACTATCTTCAAGTAGTTGAAACACCCCAAATTAACGTGTGTATTCGCATATAATTATATAAATATATATCTGTATATATATAATCACGGCAATTATTCACAACTCATAAAGTAATCTTTATGGCATTTCTTCATTAATCTTTACCAACAGAGATTAGTCTGATATCTACAGTAAAGGCAAAGGGAGAGACTTAGTGTAACGACACGGCCGGTCGTTTCGAGAGTTATAGCTCCGCTTTCTCCATTTCTACTTCTTTTTGTGTTATTCGGCTATATTATGTTATATCGGGTTAGTTGGTTTGGGACCGAAGTGGTTTTAGAGTGAATTGGGACACTTAGTCTCTTAAGTAGAAACTTAAGTTGGAAGAGCATTGCGGGATAGAGATTTGACCGGTTCGAGGTAAGTAACGATTGTAAATCTAGTCCTGAGGGTATGAAACTCCGGATTTTCGTATCATTTTACTATTTTGAGGTGACGCACATGCTAGGTAACGGGCATGTGGGCGTGCACCGTTGGGGATTGGGACTTGGTCCTTACCCTAGCAACTGTAAAGTTGTATATTTTGTTGAAACTATATGATACTTATGTGTTTTAGAAAGAGTTTCTGTAAATTGGGTTGAATGCCATGTTTGGGCCTTGTGCCAGTGTTTTTTGGACCCTTAAGAGCCTTTTCTTACTATCGTCTCACTGTTTTCGATTGAAAATCTATACTCAGTCATGGTTATACTTGTTTACTGCATAACTCACTTTATTACTCTATTTTGATGCATATAAATGTTGTTTTGGGCCGAATGCCCTGTTTTTACTGAAATGCCCGAGTGGCTTAAGAGGTTTATGATTGAGTGAGGCCGAGGGCCTAATTTGTGAGGATATTTATGGGATCGGACTGCACGCCGCAGCACGTTGCATATTTATGGGATCGGGTTGCACGCCGTAGCATGTTTGATATCGGTCGAGGGCCTAAGTGATTTATGCCATGATTTGGCTTGATATAGCGCTTGGGCTGAAGGAGCCCCTCCGGAGTCTGTACACACCTCCAGTGAGCGCAGGTACCTACTGAGTGCGAGTGTCGAGTGCTGAGTGACTGGGAGGCATGATTGATTATGAGGTATGCCCGAGTGGCAAAGAGTGATTGTGAGGTATGACCGAGTGGCAAAGAGTGATTGTGAGGTATGCTCGAGTGGCACGAGTGACTGTGAGGTTTGCCCGAGGGGCTGAATATGAGTGATGTTTTGCCCGAGGGGCTGTTTATGATTTCATCATTTTTGCTCACCTTTGCATTTTTCTCAGTTTGAAAATTGTTGAAAAATATCTTTAAATGATTTTTACTGGAACTGGGTTTAAACGAGATGTTTTGATTCAAATCCTGATTTTAAAAGCATGTGGTATTTTTACTGAGATTTCCTGATATGAACGTTATATGCTTTATTGCTCGTCACTACTGCTCAGTCTTTATTTATTGTTGTTACTTACTGAGTTGGCGTACTCACGTTACTCCCTGCACCTTGTATGAAGATCCAGGTGTAGCTGGACACGGTAGCGGTTGTTGATTGTTCTGATTGTAGATTTTCCCGGGGATAGCAAGGTAGTTGCCTGGCGATCCCAACCCTGCTCCTCTCCCTCTTATCTTCCTCTAGTTGTATTTAGCTATTTTTCAGGCTGAGTTAGCCTTGATATTGCTAGATAGATTGTAGTAGATGCTCATGACTAGTGACACCCCGATGTCGGGCTTCTCCTTCCACACTTTTATTTTGATTGGAACTCCTTTACGAAGGTTTTTGTGTTAAATAACATTGAAATTATCTTTGAAATGAAAATATCAGTTTGTTTTGGAAATAAGTTGGCTTGCCTAGTTCCACGATAAGCGCCATCACGAAAGGGGTTAGTTTGGTTCGTGACAGATTGGTATCAAAGCCTAGGTTACATAGGTTTCATGAGTCATGAGTGGTTTTCGTAGAGTCTTGCGGATCGGTACGGAGACATCTGTACTTATCTTCGAGAGGCTGCAGAACCTTTAGGAAACTCCACATTCTTGAATTATTGTCGTGTGAATCTGTTGATTCTAGTAACTAAACATCTGTTGTTTTATTCTCTCACAAATGGTGAGGACTCGTGCTACCGGTCAGGAGGGCCAGCCACCAGTACCACTAGCCAGGGCCGCGAGAGGTC